ATCGTTCCAGGTACAGAGCGCTGAGGCAGCACAAAGAAAAGAGGCTTTAATGTTACTCGGTGTCTGCCAAGAAATACCTCCTAGAAAAAAATAGCCTATAGATAAAACAAAACCCATCGCTTTCTACGTGCATTATTTTGTTATTTTTGAATAATAACGTATTGAATATCAAGGGAAAGGGGCGCAGAAACGCTGTAGAAGGGAACTGAGTTTGTGCCCCGTGCTCAGTGTTGAGATTGTAACACACAGGACGGCTGTATTAACAGGGATGAGGTTGTGGAGGCCGGGACCTTTCCGATGGGATTAGTGTCCTTAGAGAAAGACGCCCAGGCAACTCGGGTGCAGGTTCAGGCTGGCTGTGAGGAGACGAGCTAAGAAGCACAGTGATTCGAAGAGCGAGTGCAGTGGGGAGACTGAGGGACGTGGGAGCTGAGACAAGGGTTTCGGGCCAGCTTGGGTTCCAGGGGTTTTGCATGAATAAGTAATGCTTCTGAGTCCCCGCGTCGTCACTGTGACACGGACAGAAAGATGTTACCCAACTCTCGGGTCAAGGTGAGAGCGAAATCATTGAGCGAACGCTTTTTCATAGACAACCTGGGCTTTGACGTACCATCCCTGTCAATATTTCTCTATTTTAAAAACACTGCGGGCTGAGGATTTAGCTCACTGGTTCCCCCACCTGCCTTGCAAGTGCAGGGATCCGAGTTCGATCCCCGATACCAAAAAAACAAATAAACAACAACAACAAAAACCACACTGCTACTAGGTCAAAACTGTTTTTAAAATGTTTACTGATGCTTTTTACGGGTACTGTGTTCCTGTATCATCATTTTCTGATATATAAATTGCTTTCTTATTTTGAATACTGTCAGAACCAGAAGAAGGAATAGATTAACTGAAGGTCATATTCTCTCTGTTCCATTTATGAATTTAAATTGCAGTATTTTAATACGTCTAGACAAGAATTTAACTTCTGAAACTATCATTTCATAAAATAATTTAAGAAGTTGTTAATATTTAAATATTTTCAAATATTTAGTAAAAATGTATTTTAATGAATAGAAACATGAGAGTAATTTTCCTTGATTAAAACATAATTATGGAAATGTTAAATATATAACATTAGCATATTAATATGAAATGCAAATACTTCCTTTTCCTTATAGTATTCCCAAGGAACTTATAAGAAGGATCTAAACCATTCAGAAAATATTAATTTTCAAATATAACATCTTAGAGTCTCTGGAATGGAATACTTTGGCTTCTTGAAATTTGTGTATAGTACTTGATGTATATTTTACTATTTTCCTAAAGTTTAGAAGTATAT